TATACACTTATTATTCCATTTAGAGAAACTCGCCACTAGGCACACTAATCACTATGTTCTCACTATTAACCTAGGTGTTCTTCTGTTCAACATTCACTGATGGAGTCCTGAGTGACCACTCCCCCTCCTCAACCCCAGAGGGTAAACAAACCTCACCTCCACTGGCAGGATCCCCTCAAGACCAGCACTACTCCCCGACTCCCTACATGCACACTGTGCTTTTACTGGTACAGAAGCAACGGTCTGATGAAGAGGATTGTCACGATTCTGTAATCTCAGGTGGATACGATGACATCTGCTGAAACTGTCCCTTGCCGACCATGTTGGTTTTGTTTACACACAAACATATGGCGCACCACAGGCTGGCTCCCTTCCTTCACGTTTCTCGTTCATATATATATATATATATATATATATATATATATATATATATATATATATATATATATATATATATATATATAATGTAGCCGAGGACTCGAACCCATGCTGTTTTAGCCCACCTCATGGTGAGTCAAAATTCCATGATGCTCTAACCCATGGGACCATACAATCCTAGAAGAATCACGCACCCAGCAGAGCTAGGTGTTGTACCGTGATCGTGATAATAGGACATTCGATGGTGTGGGTGCTTCAGAGATAATTTCATCCTCCTCCCCATTTGCTGTACTAGCCTCCACGACAAGTATTTTTTTATAATATTGTAAGATTATATAACTGTACGGTCCCGTGCGTTAGAATTTTCGCTCACCTTGAGGAGGGCTAAAACAGGTGCTCTAGGTAGTGTGCTGCAATACAGACTGCAACCTCAGTGATATAACATCTGTAGTGAGGAAGTAGGTATATGGATTCATTTAAATATGGGATCACATGTGCAATTGTCCTAGGATAGCCTAAAAGAAATGTTTTGACTATTTAGGTCCTAACCCGTGTAAGGCACAGCGGTACAAGGTACACATAGGTAGTGGTGGGCACAGCTAACCGAAAGTTAGCTTTGCTAACCGCTAATCCGCTAAGAAATTAGCTTCGCTAATGCTAAACTGCTAAACGGCAGAGAAAATTAGCGGAAGCTAACACTGAATGTTAATCGCTAACTATTTCTCGTGAATTCAGATTCGGTTTAGTAATTTGGTCTTTTACTTTTACTTTTAAGACTTTAAAAACATACTTGGTGAACTTTCCATTAAGATATAAAATGCCAAGGTCATATGATGACCAAGTGCTCCTAATGCGAAAATAGTGACTGTTTAATTATGTGATGTAATGCGACCGGCTGACAAGGACACACTTGTCGCTGCACTGAAGCTCCATAGCGCCCGAACAGATTGAGTTAGCTTATTTGACTGTTTTCTTCATTAGTTAAAGGTACTCGTTGTATTCATTCTTTTTATTCTGTGTTTGTTCATGGAAACACAATCTCTGTGTCCACCACAGACTGACAGATGCTAGTACAAGCAGCAACAAATGCTTCACCAATGGTGGTCTGGTGTGCTCTCTTTGCAGGGGGCTGTGACGACTACTGTTCCTGCTAGTGGCGCTGCCGCGTGAAGATTTCCCATGTTTTCCCCGGGAAGATTCGGCCTTGATTCTCTCCTCAAACATGATGCGACTTCAAGTTGTAGAGGCTCGCCGCCTGTCCCTTGATGATGGTCTCCATGGGCGGGCACATGATGCACAGGAAATACAAAATATTGGCATTCTTCGTATCCCTTGACTTGAGGACAAAATAGTCATCGAGGTTGGGCCACAGGTTCTGTGACTCCTGGTCCACAGCCTGAGCAGCCTCTGCTTCAACCACAGCCGCTGCAGACTCCTCAACAACATCCTCAGGCAGAACAGAAACATCTCCCCTGTTCATAACGATAAGCAATAACCCACCCCGGTGATGGCTGACACTGTAAAACTATAACAATGCTGCTCAGATGCTGCGTCTGCTGCGTTGACAACTCACGTTTGTGCTTAGTCATCCAATAGCGTGCCTGACTGTTGGAGAAATGCCCGCTCCAGATACACAAATAACCCTCACATAAAAGAGAGAAGCTTACGACGACGTTTCGGTCCGACTTGGACCATTGACAAAGTCACAACAGACAGGAACAATCATGTGTGCCGTTGAAAAGTCATTGCTTTCCGACTACCAACAACGTATGAATTTTTTGTTAGCAGACTCAAAGTTAGCGGAACTATATTTAGCGGAAGCTAATCAGTCCGCTATCGGTTTCCGAAGTTAGCGGAAACCCTAATCCGCTAAACAAAAAGTTAGTTCCGCTAAATAGTGGTTAACGGATTAGCAGAACTGTGCCCACCACTGCACATAGGTGGTTGCAACATGGTGATTACAATTAGTATAATGGTTTAATGAATCAGGTTGTTGGTAATATTATAATAATATAATGATATCAGCAGCTGGTAGTTGATACTAATGACGTTAAAATTAATTATAGCCTAGTTATCATAAGAAAGAAAGCCTGAATAGGAGAATTCACAGAGGTACATTAACTGGCACTGAGAATATTTCCTGAATATTCTGGAAGGTTCTGCAATGTATGTAATGATCCACTATTGTAATGTAACTTTTTATGTCACATGACCTGTTTCCAGCGGTTAGAAGCTTAGGGCTGGCTATTAACTATCTTCTAGTATTTTTCCTCATGCTATCTGCAAACTGCGAGGCCTACCCAACCCGACCCAATATGAGGTGTGTGTGTGTGGGGGGGGGGACCGGTGTGTGGTTGGCATCCCACTGGGCCTCTCTCAGATAGACTGATTGGTGCCTCCACTCTACCGTACTCTGAAAACTTACCCTACTTCGCCTGTTGTTGCTTTTGCAACATTGCACAGCTCCTGTTGATGCACTGAGAAGTATGATAGTACTTGAGTTAAAGATTTCTACCCTCCTGGGTTGTCTTGCGCGCGCGCGCACACACACACACACACACACACACACACACACACACACACACACACACACACACACACACAGATCTCCGGACGATTGAAAGCAGGATGAAAGACATTAACACACACGATGCCTTCTACCTACTCACCAGGTGCCTGTCAATCCCAAAACTTACCTACTTTCTGAGATGCTCCCCAGCCTTCAGCAGTCCAAAACTCAAGGAATATGACTCCTTAAGACCATGCTAGCGAGTGTATTGAATCTTTCCCTTGAAGATGAACAGTGGTTGCAAGCCTCACTTCCAGGCTGGGAGGGCTGGGGGGCTGGGAGTACACAGATCCTCCCAGATTGCCCTACCAGCTTTCCTATCCTCTTCCATAGCATCAAACGAGTTAATAAGACAAATTCTTCCTGATAACTCAGTGATTCAGCAGGAATACAGGACCTTAACTATGCCAATGCCATCACTGAATGGGGGACTATTGCTGCTCCAGCACCAAATCCTAGTGCAGCACTGGCTTACAGTCAAGCTGGATGGCCCCATCGCCAAAACAGTGCTTGCCAACATGCTCAGGGCTGCAACATCAGTTGGGAGGTTGTCTCCAAGCTGTGATGCACATCACTCCAGGAACTTCCTCCAAACAGTCCCAATATCGGCATTGGGAACGCGCCTCGCCCCTAAGAACCTCCGTATTGCAGTGGCTTTGCGCCTTGTTGCTTCAATTCACATGGAATATACACGTATTTGCGGCAATGCTCAAGCCGACCAATATGGTCTACATGATCTTAACTGTTCCAAAACCAAGGGCTGGCATGCAAAACACAATGAGATCAACGACATCATAAAAAGAACCCTTGCTACAGCTGGATGCCCAGCCAAGAGAGAGCCCCGATCACTAGCAGCCAACAATACCCACAACCCAGCAATCCGCCCCGATGGGATCACCATCTATCCTTGGAAGAATGGCAAGCTCTTAGCATTGGACTATACCTGTGTGTCCACACTGGCTGACACCTATATCCATCACAGTGTATGGCGACAGGGAGGAGCTGCTGACCAGAGGGAGGAGTACAAGATCAGCAAGTACAGGGACATAAGCCAACAGTATCAATTTGTCCCAGTGGGATCAGAGACCTTGGGATCATGGGAAAAACATGCTACACGTCTCCTTAAAGAACTGGGTTCCAGACTCGTCGACACCACCAGGGACCCAAGGGCAGCCACATTCATGTTCCAGCGCCTCAGTGTGGCCATCCAGAGGGGAAAAGCTTGCTGCATACTGGGCTCGCGTCAGGCTTCGGAGGAGCTGGAGGAGATTCATAACCTTTGATATATTGTACCAATGTATTCAAGTTTGTGTTTTCTATCAATGAATTCTGTCTACTAATAAAGAACATATATAATATAAATTATAGGGGATGGTAGGAGAAGAAAATATTCAAACAGCTCCGGGGAGAACCTTGAGTTTTCCCTGAGGTACGTTTATTGTCTTCTCTGAGGATGAGGGTCCCCAGTCCAGTTATAGAGGTGTACCTCCATATTATATATATAAATATATATATAATATATTATAATATATATATATAATATATATAATATATATATATATATATATATATATATATATATACATGAGATTTTTTTGCCATAAATCAGGGGAAATCATTCTGAACTTAACGATAACAATAAATACAAATGTTTTTAACTAATGTCAAATTTAAACTCTACTATTGTATACATTGCACAACCTAGGTAATTAAAATTACGCTATTGTAAATAATGTTAGGCGGGGTTTCTATGTTAGTTTTGACCCAGATATAAAACATTTTGTATCATTATCAATACAAAAAAAATACATTAATCTCTGACATCCAGCATATAGTTAGTACACAATAAACAGTTGCACCTACTTTAGACATTTTTTTCAACATTCTGCATGTTCACGAGTACACATTACTGTCGTAATATCCATCAAAATTTCCAGAGTAGACAACTGCCTGTTAAGTCATAACATAATTTAGTGATATATGAGATCTATTCACTTCTTCATTTTGGTCTCTCGTTTGGTAATTTTTTGTCTTTTTTTTTCTCTGCAGAATTCGGTCTTCAAGAACAACACTGAGAGATGTCTCCTGCTGCATCGAGTGACCAAAGGGTAACCAGTACAGCGTTGGCGTTACTGTGAAGTTACTTCCCCATGAAAAGTAGCCAGTACAGGGCGGGTGTTAGTAACTAGTATTGGGTGAGTGTTACTATGAAGTTACTATCCTCTGAAAAGTAACCAATAGTGAGCTGATGTTACTATGAAGTTACTACTGTCTAAAGAGTAACAAGTACTGGGCTGGTGTTACTGTGAAAATTAACCTGTGCTGGGATGGTGTTACAGTGAAGTTACTGGCCTCTGAAAAGTAACCAGTACATGACTGGTGTTACTGTGAAGTTACTACCCACTGAAAAGTAACCGGTACTGAGCTGGTGTTACTGTTAAGTACCTCACACGAGTAACCAGTACCGGGCAGGTGTTACTTTAAAGTTACCACTTATGGGAAGCAACCAGTACTGAGCTGGTGTTACTGTGATGTTTCTATTACTGGAGAATAACTAGTGCTGGGCTGGTGTTACTAATTAGTACTAGGCTGGTGTTATTATCTAGTACTGGGCTGCTGTTACTAACTAGTATAGAGTTGGTGTTACTAACTACTACTGTGCTGGTGTTACTCTGAAGTTACTACCTTCTGAAGAGTAATGAATACTTAAATGTGAGGACAATACCTTCTTAAGGTAATCATTACTAGGCAACTGTAACTGTGACGTCCCAACTTACTGAAATCAATACTGAGACGTCATTAGGGTAATGAATACTGATCTAGTGTGACGGTGACGTCACTGTATCGTCACTCCCTTCTCAAAGGGTAGTGACACCTCTTGTCTCCGTCTTGAGGGTCGTCTCTTACTGGAGGAGCGAGGTTGTGACATCACCCAACATGTACTGACCGCGTCCAGCGTCGCCAGCAGGGAATATGGCAATCACCAGAATAGCAGTGCTGATTGTTCACTTCATACTGGCACTGATCAACGGTAAGTGTTCCACCTGTGTGTGTGTGTGTGTGTGTGTGTGTGTGTGTGTGTGTGTGTGTGTGTGTGTGCGCCTTGCGGCATTGTTACTGATTACTCAGTAAAAGTGAGAGCAATTAGGTTATTTATGGGAGTCCTAGTGTCTCATATATCGTAACATTGACCATCTTCCAGGATGCGACCCACAACAATAGAACAACACCCATGTACCTACTTACTGTTAGGTCAGTGGTTCCCAAATTGGGGGTAAATTACCCCCTGGGGGTAATTTAACCATTTTTGGGGGGTAATGGAGGGGTGACAGAAAAAAAGTTATGAATTCTGAAAATCAAGAAAACAATGCGGTACCCGGTATGAGGATTATTGTTAACTTTGTCTTAGTATATAAAGTTGTAAAGTAAACCTATTATAAGTAAGTAATAAAGTTAAACCAAATAACAAACATCAAAAACTAATATACAGTATTAGAAAAGAAGAAATATATAGCTAAGTGTGTGGAAACCCAAAAGTATTTTGACAAGTATGCTTCAGGACAAAAGTCACTCAGTAGCCCAGATCGACCTGTCGGGTACGCGTCACTCACTTCCTGAGGCTGCCTCTATTTCACACTGTCAGTTTATCTGTGAGCATCAGCCGAGGTAGACATAAGCTGGTATGAAGCCAAGAATTCCTAAACTAGCTTCAAGTATGGAACTCCATCCATCCCACTGATGTTCTTGACATCTTTGGTAATAGCCATTAGAGATGCACAATGTTCAAATACAATAAGTAAAAGAAAATATCTCAAGTGTTTTAATTTAGCCATATATATCAATAATAACAACATTTTGTGAAAGGGGTAACATGCTTTATGTGACATGTTAAATTGGGTAACAAGCTGAAAAAGTTTGGGAACCACTGTGTTAGGTAAACAGAGGCAACGGGTGTAAGGAGATCTTCCCATACATCAATCCCTGCCCGGTATTCGAACCCGGAACCAATCGGTTGTGAGCCGACTGCGTTGACCACTGCTCCACAGGTGTGTGTGTAGGGGATGGAAGATCTTTGGTCAAGTAACAGAGATAAATATTTACATTCATGTAAGAACAAGAGATCTATACGTTTTGTGAAACACTGACGGCAGACTGATATACTCTGTGTGGTGGAGCCCTGACAGTGCGGGTCAGCTGGGGATTGTTATAAATATATCCATTAATTGTCTAGATATTTCTGAACCAGTTATAGATTCACACGAGGGAGAGACTACATTGTCAGTCCGGTACAATTGCCACTCCATCTTCATACGCAGTAAAAATGAAATTTATTTTTGTCGAATATAATTCAAACAGATTGTCGCTATCTGTTCCTGTTATTTTACACAGGTTCACAGATGTCGTCGTTCGTAGCAGTTATTTACAATGTTCCATTAAAATAACCTTGCAAAAATATATCATCAACGACACTTAATTCAGCCATTTTGAATCAATGGCAGTGACTCACTTTGGTAAAATATTTCACTAGTACACTTAAGGGTTATTAGGCAGTACACAGATAACCCGCACATAGGAGAGAGGAGCTTACCACGACATTTTGGTCCGACTTGGATAATTTACAAAGTCACTTTGTAAGTGGTTATGTATTTTTATTTATGTATTGTTCCACCTTTTTGTTGATTATTAGGCAGGCTATGTGCACTTAGCAAGTTATACTTCCTTAGTTATGTTCGTAAAAGTTGATTTATAGCTCCTGTTCCAACTTACTAGCACTCTCACCTCCTTTTTACTTATTCTTTGCCTCTTGGACCCGATATTATCTAGTCTTGAAACTTTGTATTATATTTGTCTCAACATTTGCCTATCCTAGACCTTAGCAAATATACATAGCATACCTGTAACAATTTCGAGTTTTTGTCTATCCTCTTTGCCAGGCCTGAGGCCAGACTTCCTTCTTGGTTGCCAGTTCAAATAGGGTGTTAACGTTATCATCCAGGTGGCCGACACTGGAATCACAATTTGGTTGATCCGGTACTTGGCGAAGGATTATTTTCAATATATGCTGAGGAGTTTAATGCTATTGCGGATCAACACGTTTATTTGCACTTCCTCCTGTATCTCTCATTCTGGTAAGCTCTTAAGGTAGTGTGTAAGTATAGGACCAACCCCTCAAGTATCAATTTTTTGAGTTCCTAAGAGGACATTACATGTAGCTGGAAGCGTTTCCAGTAGTTTATATGATTTTTGGCAGTTTGTAGGCAGTAAGAAATCTCTGTACTTCCTCAGTTATGATATCTCTTATCCCTTGAATTACTTGTAATTAAAGAACAGTAAGGATGACAAACAACTAAGGATCCAGAACGTGTTTTGGGATGCTAAAATCCTTACACTAGCAAGACTAAATATGGTTTTGCTTACTCTTATTTTTACTACTACTAAGGGGAATGATGATGGCAGGAGTGGAAGTGAGGATCTGTTGAACAGCATAGGACAGCGAAAGACGATTATGAAGAAGTGAGAAATCCCTTTCTTATACAATTTTGCTGCAGATGAGAGGATCACGGAAAAAAATTGATTTAACTTATATACTCACCTCCAGAACCAATGTACAAATATGTACAGTGACGTGCAGAGTCAGGGTCAAGTTAAATGTACTAATGAGCAGATTTTCGGAATAGAGTAAAAACAAAATGAGAACAATCTCGCTACTACAGCTATGGCTCACTCACACAAAACAGAATCTGATATGATGTTTGCCAGGTCAAGGCAGGAGAGAGGTATGATGGATATTTCTTTATGCAAAATAACCTCATTCAGATCTATCAACCCTCTGACACATCAGAATGCCTCAGCACATAGCATCCTATACCAAGATGGTGCTTTCAGTTTTTTGGTCATTTGAAATTCATTAATGAACTATGAAATTCTCTCCGGTCATTCTTCAGTTATAATTGTGGTGGGAAAATATAATATAACAGAACAGTGTTTTAGTAAATAAAGTAAATTATGTAAAGTAAAATAGTTAACACTTAGATGGAAAAGTATTTGAATAACTGTTAATTTACAATAGTCAAAAAGCTTACTAATTATCATTTTTATTTGATATGGAAATGTATTGACACCGTCACTATCAAATTAAGTCATGAAATTAACACCTTCAGTTATTCTTATCGTTACATAATTGTTTGGGCTCATTCAGTGGACTATTTTGAATGAAAGTGTCAAGGGCATATTCATTGCTTATTTCCATGCCCTCTACATAGGTTAAGTAACGCTTGGTTAATTTTAAGTACCTCAGGTGCTTGCCTGGGGCACTTAATACACATTTTCAACAGCCACAAGATCTGTCACACCTGGATCTGCAGCCACAGATCACACGCAGCACTTTGCCTGAATGAAACCAGCTTATCTGTTTCTATTACTACCAATGTGCCATGTACCATTCCCATTCCATGGGAGATTTTTCACTGCCAATCCCCCGTTGCACAGTGTGATGGGTGAGGTATGAATGACACTTGGCACCTGCGAGTATAGGAGCCGGTGATTAATTCTTCATCACAGAGGATAAAAATGCTTTATGAATTGATAGTCTGTACATGATGTATCGTTGTTCATGCAGTGACTTCGCTCTGGCTGATCCATATAACTGTAGGATGAAGGTTTCCCCAGCTCTTGCTATTTCTTCTTGGGTACTGTTTGGTAACAGATCATCCTTCACCAGAGCAGATAATATCTAGTGCTTTAAATTTCCCTTTCACGTAAATGGCAGAGAATGTATCGCAGCCAGTGACAACAATCACAACTTGAGATTGTGCATGACACTGATATTAGCAGATTGTATTTCCTGATTAATGTACATTTGGATTGGGTTTCGGCAGCGGACATGTGGATATTTGCATTTGGATAAGCTTGTAAAGACAGCATCACGAAAAGTATCTGCGTCTGTTTCCAACTGCAATAACTGACCTCTCAGTCTGTTGAGACTATGAGATCAGCGTCAGTCTTATGTTGTTTCCTTACAGTCTCACTATGTGGATGGTTCTATGTGAAGTAGATGATCAGTCAAGACTTGTTCTTCTGGTAATGTAGGAATGCTTTTAGAGTAATGACCTGTACTGACAGCTATTCACATGAATCCTTCCCATAATGGTCATTGGTTTGATTGGAGTCCAAGAGTGAATCTACCATAAAGAGCAATCAAAGGGGCTATTGGAATTTTAGAAAATGTACTCTGTTTCCAGGAGCAAGAGTGATCCGATAGTTCACAGTTGACAGTGCATGTATAACTGTTTTTTTGTATCTTAGAATGTTGATTTGACCGAAGATTCCTGTAAACATTGAAAATGTATGTCTCTGGGGTGATTAACTTTTCTTGATGATAACCTCTCCAGGAGGAGTGATTGGCTGCTCCACCAATTGCACAGAATGTGTTATGGCCTGTTAATAAAAGACAGTAAAGTCAAAAAGGAACTGAATGAATCTTTTCAGATCAATATCTGTCTCTGCTCCCTGGACAAGTGCACTAGTGAGTCGCTGAACTTCTGTAGTTATCTGAGAATGACGTGCTAGTGAACATTTGAGTTCGCGAGATGCACATTTCCTGAGGATATCGACAATAAAAATGTTGATTGGATGAACCTAGGTAGACAAGGTAATACGATAATGTGAGCTATTGCCATACATCGACGTTCAGCAGTTGTGTGTGTATCAGCCTGTGCAGTGATCAAGCAAGCAAGAGGTTCCTCTATCACTGTGTGTGTATCAGCCTGTGCTGTGATCAAGCAAGCAAGAGGTTCCTCTGTCACTGTGTGTGTATCAGCCTGTGCTGTGATCAAGCAAGCAAGAGGTTCCTCTGTCACTGTGTGTGTATCAGCCTGTGCTGTGATCAAGCAAGCAAAGGTTCCTCTATCACTGCGTGTGTATCAGGCTGTGCTGTGATCAAGCAAGCAAGAGGTTCCTCTATCACTCTGTGTGTATCAGCCTGTGCTGTGATCAAGCAAGCAAGAGGTTCTTCTATCACTGTGTGTATCA